AATGTACGCGTTACTAATTTGGTAATTATACAAAGCATTTTCACAATAAAAAAATTGGAAATTTAAGCTAGATAAAATAAAATAAAAAATGTTCTAATTAAGAAAATGAAAACTTTTGATATAGTACTTTTAAAAGATAAGAATAACGTAGCAAACTTTTTCTTTACTCTATATTTAAAATATTTATAACATTTGAAATAAGAGATTAAATGCTACTATCTACCAGACGTTTCTTAAATAGATCATTTATTATTTTATAAGCTAATTAAACATTTGTATAAATAAAAATTGTATGTGTTATAAATACGGCTGCTATTTGCACATAGAATGTAAGACGTTGGGACAACATAAATTTTATTTTAACATATGCTTGAAGCTCGCAATATTTACATAACATTTTCAATGTGTAATTTAAAAAAGTTCTACTTTTTATATGTACGAAGAAACATTAAACTCCTTGTATGAAGAAGAATGGCCCAAAATGAGCAGAATTAACGACAGAGTTACTTTATTAAGAAACATATAGTATTACAATAATACCTTTTAATACCTTTTCAGTTTTTAAATTGGAACTAAAACGGTATCATTTCTGATTTTCTATTCGGTTTTCGAGTAAAACACTTGATGATTCACTCGAATACATTTAGTAGCTGATACAATTTCAACGATTTTGGAGGATAAGTTGTGTCTTGTGTCTTTCTAGACGAAGCAAAAGCGATTGATTCTGTATGACCTAAAGAACTTCTATTCAACTAAAAAGCGAATTTCCAGCTCTATATTACAGATTCATAGTAATTGAATGAGATTATTCTAAAAAAAATTAAAGCAATATTTAAGTTATAAGTAATAAAACTATACATTTTAAATTTAATATATTAGAGATATAATTTAAAAATAATTTTTGTCAATGTTTTTCTATGTAAATAACATATTTTGTATAAATTGAAGCATTATTAATATTATCAACGNTAAAAATAATTTTTGTGAATGTTTTTCTATGTAAATAACATATTTTGTATAAATTGAAGCATTATTAATATTATCAACGAAACTTTTATTTCACAGTGAAAAAATTTTATATTTAAAAATGTTTACTAATTATTTATTTTCATTTGTTTTGATATGCACTATTCTCAATTTTAACTTTGTAAATTCCAAAGATCAAGTTTCTAAGTTGAACTTATTCTTAAAAAACCCTTATTGGACAAAATTAAGAAAAAGTTTGCATATTATTGATGAAAATCATGGAGAAATCGCCTTGGACCAATTGATTAAAGGAATTACTAGAAGTGATTTTGTTACATCTGAAAATCTAAACGATAAAGCGAGACAATTTTATTTGTTGTTAAGCTGCAATCTTTTTAAAGTATTAGGAGAATATACTGACTACGTAAAAATAATATGGACAGAATGTAAAAGACATCCCGACCAAAAAGAAGGTTTTAAGCATTATATAATGAGAGAATTTACTGCTTTCACAAATTTCATTGCAGATTGGCCGGCTGCATTTTCTTCTTTTTCAAATTACACTGATATGGAACTTAAAAATAACATTAATTCTTATGTAGACATAGTGTATTATTTAGCTTCATTAAACAAACATAGTGATAAAGATTTAGATGAAAAAATCGATAAATTAGATAATAATGTTCGAGATTTTATGAATGGTAACTGTAGACCAAAACAGCTAACACTTTCGATGATAACCAAACACTACAACAGACAAGTTGGAAATAGATCTTACGATGAAATAGTTTGGAAAGTCAAACCTTATCTTGATCAAATAAAAATATTAGTTATGTCTTTTTTGTTGAAATTTGATTTCCTACATACTAAAAAGTGTATATTAAAGTCAAGTTTTAATTATAAAGTTTGTGAATTAGAAATCTTTTTAAAAAACTCATATTGGAATAAATTTAGAGACGGTTTACATATTTATGACGGAAATAATGGAGAAATTACCATGGACCAATTGTTTGATGGATTTGGAACAAAAGATTTTGTTACATCTGAGAATAAGAACGATAAAGCCAGACAGTTTTATTTGTTATTGAGCTGTAATCTCTCAAAGAAATTAGAAAGATATGCAGATTTTGTAAGAATATTATGGGGAGAATGTAAAAAAAAATATACAGAAGAAAAAAGAAATTGTAAAAAACAACTAATAATGGAATTTGCTTCTTTCACAAACTTTATTGTAGATTGGCCATCTGCATTTTCTTCTTTTTCAAATTACACTCAAATGAAACTTAAAAATAACGTTAATTCATATGTAAACATATTACATTATTTAGCTTCATCAAACGACCATAGTGATAAAGATTTAGATGAAAAACTCGATGAATTAAATAATAATGTTCGAGATTTCATGAATAATAACTGTAGACCAATACAGCCAAATCCATCGAATGTAATTGAATGGTACAACACGCAAGTTGAAAAAGAAAGACCTATTGTCGAAATATCTGCTGATATCAAAAAAGATCTCCATAACATAAAAATATCAGTAATGAATATTTTTTTTAAATTTGGTTTCTGGCATACAATAAAAAATATACCTTCAATGGAGACATAAGTTTCGATTTAAATAGCATCATTAATCTCGAATAAAATTTCAGTTATATTTTTGCATTCATTTTATATACTGTTAGAGAGTCGGTCAGTGAATTATTTTACAAGACGTCTGATCTCGTCATTAAAATTAAAAAATTGCGCATCGTTTTAATCTGATTGATATCAATCCTGCTCTAATAATTATATTATTTTGTTCTGATTTTTAATAATATATAATTAAATAGAATAATCTAATTGTATCTTGTATGATTTATTTTGTTAATTTGTTCATTAAATGTCTATCATATTAGCCTTAATAAATTTGATGAATACATTTAAATAAAGCGTTTTTAATTTATAAAGGACTAATGACAAAACTTCCTAAGTCACATTTTAGTTTTTTGAGGATAGTGAAATAAACATAATTTTTTTATGTATATTAGTAGTACTACAATTATTTTATTTTCATAAGTATCATAAAATTATCATGTTAATGGCCAAATATTAAACAGTGTTTTAAAAAATATAAAATAGGAAATTTGTTCGATTATTCTATAAAATTTATCAAAATGTTTTATGAAAATTTTCAACGTATCCGATAATATGTAGTTTCTTATTTCTTTATCTAATTATTTGATAAATGTGTACTATACAGATTTTTATTGAATACGTGTTATAAGAATAAAAATAAATTTACAAAAATATATCTTAGTAATAACTTAAGCATTAAAAAAAAACCTAATAATTACTTTTTTTTGCTTTGTTATCGATATGCACTAAAAAATAATTTAAATTAACGAATTCAATATTAATAGACGATGTCTAATTTTATTTTTAATAGTTACTAAAGAAACATCTATTTTCCATTATAACTTGACACTCTCAAATAAACATTTATTGTTTGATTCAATTCATCAATGACTATTTGGTTTTAATGAGATCACACGTGTACAATATTGTCTGTAATACATTTTTTTTCCTAAGAAATGCCATATTTTATTGAAAAATGAATAAATGAAAAAAATTCTTATTTATATTGAAACCTTAGATTTTTCCTTTATTTGATATATATTTTCTGATAATCTGATCCTTTAGCTGTCCTCTGGGGATTCAAAATAGCAATTTATGCACAAGAATAATAATTTTTCATCTTAAGCTTTGAAAATGTTCCGGAAATACTCAAGTTTCAAACATTAAGCTAATATTATGCACTCTAAGTAATTGTCCTAACACCTTTTTTCATTGGAAAAATGGTCGTCAAAATTAACGAAAAATGTCATTTTTATGTAAATATCACTGGTTGACATGAAATATTTTAATACTTAAAACTGCCATACCTTTTTAAAAAATGAGTAAATAAATTTTTTGAAAATCTGATTCTTTAACTTTTCACGGGGGATTCAAAATAGCAACTTATGCATAAAAACAAAAATTTTTCACCTTAATTTTTGAAAATTTTCCTTAAAAATTGACACTTTTATTTAATTAGAATTAAAGCTAATGAAAAATACTTTATTATGAAAAAAGAAATTCGAGATTTAGTGAAAATGGTTTGTCATATTCAAAAATATGCTATTTTTGTGTTAAAAGTCTTGGTATTGTATTTAATTTATCTTAATATACTTTAAAAGGGGAGTACACTAATTTTCATGAATATTGTATAAATCTAATTAATATAGAATATAAAGTTAATCTTATCTCAATTATTTTTCTCTTATAGGTCGAAAAAATTAATGTTAACATTTAAATCAGCTTAAATTGGCAATTTTATCAAAAAATGAATTCAACGAGCTGAGAAGGTATTGGTTTTACTATATTGTGTTTTTTTTTTGTGTCTGTTACAGTTTTTTCTCAGCTCTCACCAAACCGATTTCTTTCAATGATACATCAAAAGATCACAAATCGTATCTAGTCCAATACATTACCCTCAAAAATTAAAAAAATTTCCCTCGTTCCCCGTAAATGGGGGAAACCTCCAAAAAAATTGCAAATTTAAAAATCGCTAATTTTTTCAATTTTTTTTACCTAAAATTGCCATAACTTTTTTAAAAATAACCAAATCAATATAATTTGTTTTTTTATATAGATGCTTTATGTCTTTACCTATCATTTGGTATATTTTTTTTAAAAATGTAACCCTTTATCAGCCTACAGGTGGGGATTTAAAATGACAATTTTTTCACAAAAAATTAAATATTTTAACTTAACTTTTGAAAGTGTTCCAGAAGGTCTGACCCTGTTATATATATCTTAAATTAAAGCTTATGTAATATACTTTAATTTGAAAAAAAAAATTTGCTCTCTGGACTTTTCTTCGTGGTGAAAATGGCTACCGAATTCTATTTTTGTGTGAAAATTCTCGATATTATTTTTTACATTTTTAACTTTATTATGCTATAACTTATTGAAAAGTGTATGGATCAACACAATTTTTTTATGAGAAATAATATTTTTAACAATCCCTCTTTCATTCGACATACTTTATCTTTATCAGAATATTAGTAAGGATCTAGCAGATCATATAACTTTTGGAATAATTCACCAATTTTTTAAAATTAAACACTATATAATTATTTGCATTGAAGCGTTTTTTTTTTTGATAGTGATTTTAATCACTGTCAGATATCATTATACTTGATCCAACTATCCACGTCACCAATGTGCCGCGACCCCCTGTACTGGTTTTTTGTTTTATTGTTTTCAATAAAATTGTGACAACTATAAAACATTAATTCAGTAAGAAGTATTTTAATGAAAAAAGTCTTTTGAAATCAAAAACATAACAATATTAAACAGATTTGTAAAAAAAAAAAACCTGTTTAAAAGATAAGTGAACAGTTGAAAACATTAAAATTACCCATAAGACCAATGTAAATTTTAAAATTTTATAATACTGTTTTAAATTTATTTAATATACTGTAACAACCTTGATCTGGGAATCGTAGCATTTAAAATGTTTATTGGATTTCATTTAATATTCATATCGCTAAAATTGTACGCAACAAAATGTTTTATTTTTAACGATACAATTTAACTTAGAAATATATGTTACGTTTTTTTAATCATGGTAACTATTTA